TGGATCACGCTACATCTGGAGAATAATATTCTCCCATAAATCCAACATGCAGTGGTGGGACAGCCATAGGATAACCTCTACAGATATCTGCAACCAAAAAGAGGGAAAATGGAAGTTGAGCAAGTTACTGGTCCATAGACATTCTAAAATCCTGTTGGGTACAGATTGCATTTCTTGAGTAGGGCACTATCTTATTGAGTTGGAGTTGTTCACTATTGTTCTTAGTTCTACTTTCTGGGTTCTTGTTTCCTCCCTCTGAATGATCCTTCTTTTCATATAAGAAACATTCTTATGCCTGCTTTCTGTTCATAAAAGCTTGAGGGCCCAAAGGTCTCTTTATTTATTGTATTTTCTCTGTCCCTTCTACTCCAAGCTAGGGATGCTTCCACCAGAATAATTATCTAAAAACATTGTGGGGCTTGTGTTTACTAACTGACAATTCACATAATTAGATAAATGTCATATCCACAAATCTTTCTGATATAAGTCTTTCTCTACCTTGAGTTCCCTGTAAGACTGTTGCATGACTCTCTACAAGCTTGACCAACCCACAGCCCACGGGCTGCATGCTTTGAATGTGACCCAACACAAAGTTGCAAAATTTCTTAAAACATTATCAGATTCTTTTTTTTGTGTGTGATTTTTTTTTCTTTTCTTTTTTTTTTTTTTTTTGACGGAGTCTCACTCTGTCGCCCAGGCTGGAGTGCAGTGGCATGATCTCGGCTCACTGCAACCTCCGCCCCTCCAGGTTTAAGCAATTCTCTGCCTCAGCCTCCGGAGTAACTGGGATTACAGGCACGTGCCACCACGCCCGGCTAATTTTTTGTATTTTTAGTAGAGACAGGGTTTCACCATCTTGGCCAGGCTGGTCTTGAACTCCTGACCTCGTGATCCACCTGCCTTGGCCTCCCAAAGTGCTGGGATTATAGGCATGAGCCACCACACCCGGCCTTTTTTAGCGATTTTTTTTTTAATGCTCATCAGCTATTGTTAGTGTATTTTATCTGTGGCCTGAGACAATTCTTTTTCCAATGTGTCCCAGGGAAGCCAAAAGATTGGACATCGCAGCTCTGCAATGTCCTTGGATTCTCAGAACCCTTATTTTTTAGGGCAGAGGAGCCTCAAGGCATGCCCTTAAGGTCTTAGGTCTTCTGTCTGTCTGAAAGTTTCTATAAGTCACCATATTTGATCTTTTGAGGGCTTAATAAGGAATTTTATAAGCATATCCAGGGATTACACCCTAGACTGTACTTCCCTGATAGTGCTCTGGATTTGAACTCTGACCCAGAAGCAATTTATTAATTTTAGTTTAATTTGACATCTGGGGAGACTAAGAACAAAAACCACTTTTTTTTTTAATACAAATAATCTTGCCCCCTTTGTAATTAACAGTCCGTTCTTTCACTTATCTCTGTTTTCTCACATTTTGTCATCTAGCAAGAAGAAGCTAGGCGGCACTTTCAATATTCTGCCTGGAAATCTTAGATTGTCATTAGATACATTTACTATTTTCCATGTTATTGCAAGCAACAGAATTGCCAGACATTCTGCCACCATATTACAAAAGTCTCCTTTCCTCCAGCTTCCAGTCACATTTTCCGTACTTTCCTTTAAGCTCCCAGTGATGATCTACCCAGCGCTTCTGCCAACACCTGCCTTTTTAGTCTTTCCTCAACATTCTTCATGAAGCTGTTTCACTAACACTTTTTCAATGTCCTTTCAGTTTCTTCCTGCTACTTGGTTCAAAACCTACACCATATGTTATAGGATACTACAATATGACATGATAATAGCATCGCATTTCCAGGTATTAAAATTTGTTCTAGTCCTCTATTGTTATATAAAATAGTATCTTAAAAATGCAGTTTCAGTAAGACAGTGGATAGGCCTGGGGTCAATGCAAAGGTTTTCTCACTCACATGTTTGGTGGCTAATGCTGGCTTTCAAATGAGACTTTACTTGGGTTAATAGCTAGAACAGTACACATGACTTCTTCACATGGCTATTGTGCTTCCTTAAAGCATGGTGGCTGGGTTGTAAGAGCGAGCTTTCCAAAGGAATCAGGCAAAATTCACACTGCCTCCTATGACCCTAGTCTTGAAGTTCACTTTTTAATAATTGTTTTTATTTTAAAATTTCTGTGGGTACATAGTAGGTGTATATATTAATGGAGTAAATGAAATATTGTGATACAGCCATATAATGCATAATAATCCCAGAAGGGTAAATGCTGTATCCATCATATCAAGTATTTATCCTTTCTTTGTTTTATAAACAATCTAATTCTACCTTTTTAGTTATTTTAAAATGTACGATAAATTAATATTGACTATAGTCACCCTGCTGTGCTATCAAGTACTAGATTCTATTCATTGCATCTAACTATTTTTTTGTACCCATTAATCATCCTCTGCCCACTAGCCTTCCCAGCCTCTGGTAACCATCATTTTACTCTCTATCTTAATGAGTTCAATTGTTTTGATGTTTAGCTCTCACAAATAAGTGAGAACGTGCAAAGTTTGTCTTCCTATGCCTGTCTTATGTCACTTAACATAATGTCCTCCAGTTCCATCTGTGTTGTTGCAAATGACAGTATCTCACTCTTTTTTATGGCTTAATAGTACTCAATCGTGCATATGTACCACATTTTGTTTATCCATTTATTTGTTGATGGACACTTAGGTTGTTTCCAAATCTTGGCTATTGTGAATAGTACTGCAATGAAATGGGAGTACATTTATCTCTTCAATATAATTCTTTTGGGGTATATACCTGGCCACTTAGTGTCACTTCTGCCATAGTCACTGGCCATACATATTCAAACATAAATATAAATCTCACCTCTTGATGGGAAAATGTCATTATCATATTAAAAGGAAAATGTAAAGATGGAAAGATGATATTGTGGTCATCCAAAATACAATCTGTCACAGTCTGGGAAAGCTAACCTGCTAAATTCATCTTCAGTCTCAATTTTCCATGAAAAGTAAAGAAATGATTTTGAGTGACACTAGCTCCCAGTGTCAGCAATTTAAAAATTAAAATGAACTTGATGATGCTTCCCTGAGATGCCAGAACTAGTAAATTAAGGAGTAAACTTTTCAAGAGAAAAAATTGTCCTGGACCTAAAAGAGTAAGTATACAAACAACATCTACTTCCTATGCCAGAATAATTTAGCATGCTTACCCTGTTAGATTATACTGAGTCCTTACTTAGAAGACAAAGGATGAGGTTTACTAGTTTTTTATGAATGAGAGTTGAGTTAGAGAAGCTCTGGGTGAATATTTCATCTCACTAGGAGGTTTAGGGCATTACATTTTGGGCATTAAATTATGTCCCCATCTCCTCCCAAAATTCAAATGCTGAAGCTGTTAACTCCTAGTAGCTTAGTCCTGTGACTGTATTTGGGTATAGGCCCTTTAAAGTGATGATGAAAGTAAAATGATGCTTTTATGATGGGCCTCAATTCAGTATTACTGATGTCCTTATAAAAATAGAAAATTTGGACACGTTGAGAGACACTCGAGATGTGTTTGCACAGAGTGGAGGGCCATCATGTGAGGAGGAAGCAAGAGGGTGGGCATCTCTCTCATTTATAAGAAGGGAGCCTTCAAAAGAAGCCAACCCTGCTGGAACCTTGATTTTGGACTTCCAGGCTCCAGAACTGTGAGAAAATACATTTCTATTGTTTAAGTCACCCAGTCTGTGGTATTTTGTTATGGCAACCCTAGTAAAAGTATACACCATTTTTAAAGTGAGGATAATAAAACCTTCTTCTGACAATGGAATCAGACATTTAAAAAACATCACACGGTGCCTGCCATTTTATACACAGCAGATGAAGAAATCACCCTCTCTGTAATAAGATTGTGCTACATATCAGTCAGTAGAGAAAGTGGAAGGCTCAACAAATATGGAAGCTCTTTAATAGTTTTGTAATGTTTTACTTCTCTGGATAAGTTATATGACCTCTCTATAGTTCCTTAATATTTTATTAGACAAACACTGTGACCCCTTTTTGAAGTCAGCTAACTTATGTTTTTTTTTTTTGTTTGTTTGTTTTTTTTTTTTTGAGATGGAGTCTCGCTCTGTCACCCAGGCCCAGGCTGGAGTGCAGTGGTGCAATCTCGGCTCACTGCAAGCTCCGCCTCCCAGGTTCACGCCATTCTCCTGCCTCAGCCTCCCGAGTAGCTGGGACTACAGGCACCCGCCACCATGCCCGGCTAATTTTTTGTATTTTTTTTTGTATTTTTTTTTTTTAGTAGAGATGAGATTTCACTATATTAGCCAGGATAGTCTAGATCTCCTGACCACGTGATCCGCCCACCTTGGCTTCCCAAAGTGCTGGGATTACAGGCATGAGCCACCGCGCCTGGCCTAACTTATGTTTATATTCCCCGTCCTTGCCATATCACTAGGTCCTTTCTCCCCTACCTGTCATGAGGGCTTACTTCCTAACCTGATGATCACAGAGCTGTTCTTGAAAGGATTCTTGAGATGTCTTCAAGTACAAAAGAGAACTTGTTATTTTGATGCATTAAAAAACTGAGACGTGATGGTCTCCAGGTGCCGTCTGATAAGCACTCTCCCTCATCCATTCCTATCTGCCATGTAGTTCTTAGTAAATGACAAAGTTTTATTTTAAAATGTGACTGTGTTTGTTTCCCACAGGAGTACCCAATGAAAGAAGATCACCCCTATTTACCCTTACCATGAGTTAAAAGCAAAAACAAAATCACTGGATTCCTTCACAGGCCACATAAGAATCATGTTATCAAAGCTACTTTGACGCCACATCGAAAAATGGCAGCTGAGAATCCAAGGAAATATTGATTTTACCAGCAGAAAGGGTCTATGAAAATTAAAAAGAGTATTGCTTATTGGAGATAAATATAAAATAATAAAATAGGAGGATCTAAAGCTATGTGTATGAAATGTTAGAGATAGAACCAAGGAAGCACTTGTGGGTTAGTAAAGAGTTCTTCCCTTTACTTCCAAGGCTCACCCAGTTCTACAAAAGTCCTTGAGTCCTCGGTATTATTCAGTAGCTTGGGAAGCAAAACTGAACTCTATGCAGTCAAGATCTGGCTCAAGATAGTATGTGCTTTTGAATTGGTATGAGTCACTAACTGGTGCTAAGTCTTAAGGGAACTCAGATAAAAAGGTAAGTTCTTGATCACTGTAAGGTTGAATACACACTTATGGGGTGGAACAGACCATTGTGAAGTATTGCCCCATAGACTATTCCTGAATAGGTCTCATCTGGTAGCCTAAAAAATAGGTATTTGTCTTTCCTACTCAGGAGACAATTTGAACATGCTTTGTGATCATTCTCAGCAGAATTCACTTGATTTGTGAGCAAACTGATGAAAGTGATAATAATCCACAGACATAATTCTCTACTTTATGACATAAAAGATAAAACTATTCAAGTGAGGGTATCAGAAATCAAGCTGTCCACCAAAGATTAATGTTCCCTTCCACAGAATAGAGCTGCTGTGTTGCTGGGAAGCAGCTGCCCATCAGGAATTACATTTCCTTAGCCCCACCTTCATTTAAGTGGGACCATGTGACAGAGAGCTGGCCAAGAGAAGGCAGGCAGAAGTGATGCACACCACATCCAGGCCTGGCCCAGGAGAACCCTTCATGCAGAACCTTTCATGCAATCTTCCACCATCTTTCCCATCTGCTGGCTAGATAGCAACACTGAGGCTGACCTTGGAAGCCATGTGTTGAACACTGCAAAGTCTCTGAATGAACCTCTGTGTCCAGGCCCCAGCATTTGGACTTTATATAAGCAAGGAAAATATTTGCTATTATGATAAACCACTACAATTTTGGGGGACGTGTCTGTTTCCACAGTTGATATTTATCTTAACTAGTACGGACAGAGACCCAGGAAAAAAGAAATTCTCCAAATATATCTTATTTCCATATGCTTTTATGTACCCTCTTCTGCGCTTCCTCCCCCTCTCTTTGATTCTTACTCATCCTTCAAGACCAAGGCCAGGCATCGTCTCCTCCAAGAAGCCTTTGAAACCTCCCCAAGCTGAGTTAAATACAGATACTGCATGAAGGATTGTAATCTTCTGTGTACGTGATCATGTCCCAATATCTAACAACCTAACTGGCACATATTTGTTAAATTAATATGTAAATTAATAAAATAAATGGAGAAAGGGAAATACTTCAAGCAAAAAAATAAAAAGTACAAGCCATCCTGAAAATATGAAAGGAAAAGTCTCTACTGGTTGTGGAAAATGCAACTGCATTAAATATTTTAAAATATCTAGGTATGACTAGCCTTTCTTTTGCTTCGTATGATCTTGTATTATCCTAAATTATTGCACCTAAAATATAGCACATGGCACTTTGTACAAGTCTGACTCCTTCACTAGATTGTGAATTCCCTGAAGACAAAGGCCATGGTTTTCTTTGTGTTTCCATTTTCAGGACCCAGAACAGTGCCTGAAATGGTGTGGGCCCTCAACACATGCCCATTCACTGACTCATTGACTCACTGACTGGCCCCACGTTGGCCTTGAATTCCTGGGGTCCAACTGTCCTCCTGCCTTTGTCCTTTTGTGCTTTGAGTCTTCCTCAGCATTTTCTGCCAACCCTTCTTTTCAGGCTGACATGGGTTAGGAGGTAATCTGAAAGCTTTCACCAACAAGAAAAATTAATTGAACTACATTAACTTTATTATAAGGAAAAGGGCTATTGAGATATAATCTACATACTGTAAAATTCATCTATTTAAAGTATACAATTCAATGATTTTTAGTGTACTTAGAGAATTGTACAGCCACTCCCATAATCTAATTGTAGAAGATTTCCATCATCCAAAAAAGAAACCTTGCAGCAGTCACTCCTCATTCACACTCTTCCCACCCCCAGCCCTAGGCAACCACTAATCCAGTTTCTCTCTCTATAGATTTGCCTATTCTAGACACTTCGTATAAATGGAAGCATGCAATCTGTGGGGTGGGGTTGGGGGAGGTTGTAGAAGCTTTATCTTTTGACAAATGCTGATTATCCTGGTAAAGTGCAGTTGAATATTATAAAATATGTTCTCAAAATGAAAAAATATAGGAATAAGATGGGGGTTTCTGTAATTGTCTAAATTGCTGAGAAATAATAACTAGGGGCTGGGCACGGTGGCTCATGCTTGTAATCCCAGCACTTTGGGAGGCCGAGGTGGCTGGATCACTTGAACCCAGGAGTTCAAGACCTGCCTAGGCAACATGGTGAAACTCCATCTCTACAAAAAATTAGCTGGGCATGTGGTGCATGCCTGTAGTCCCAGCTACCTGGGAAGGTTAGGTCAGAGGTTCACCTGAGACTGGGAGGTTGAGGGTTCAGTGAGTTGTGATTGCAATACTGCACTCCAGCCTGAGTGACAGGAGTGAGACCCTGTCTCAAAAAACAAAAAATAAAAAAAAATAAAAAATTAAAGAAAATAAATAATAATTAAAGGAATCAGCAGCTCAAATTGTGTTATAAACAATTCTCATAATTGATATTTTATCCAAATATCAAAAATTCAGTACTTTTTTACAGATGAATTTTGCAACAAGCACTAACATCGAGGAATGCTACCGAGTAGTTATACAGCTATATTGTTTGGCAGGGCCTGCCAGTGCTCACCATAAATGTCTTCTCCTTGTCTTGCTGGATACATAATCTGATTCTCTTCCTCAACTATCCTTTAGAGGTAGGTGACCATATTACTTAGTTCTGGGCAATGGAATATAAGCACAATTTATGTAAGCACAAGTTACTTGTTTTATTTCTGGGCTGCCATGGTATATTTTATGTTAACTTGATGGGGCCACAGAGTGCTCTGGTCTTTGGTCAAACATTCTAGGTGCATCTGTGAGGGTGTTTCTGGATGGGACTAACATTTGAACTGATAGACTAAGTAAAGTAGATTGCCCTCTCTAATATGGGTAGGGCAATCAGTTGAAGACTAACTAGAACAAAAAGGCTGAGTGAAAAGGAATTCCCACTGACTGACTGCCTTTGGGCTAAGATGTTGTTTTCTTTTCTGCTTTCAGACTTGAATGGAAACATCAGCTCTCCTGGGTCTCCAGCTTGCTGACTGCAGATCTTAGGATATGTCAGCCTCCGTAATAGCATGAGCTTCCTTATAATCAGTCTCTCTCTCTTTTTCTCTCTCTGTCTCTGTCTCTCTCTCTTTCACACAGACACACACACACACACACACACACTTTATTGGTTCTGTTTCTCTGGAGACCCTTGACTAACACATGAGCCCAAACCATAAGCCCTTCCACTGAGAATCTTTGCTGTCTTCTCTCATCTACTGAATGGATGGAGAGGATTCTATGAACCAAGGGAAAGGTGGGGCCACAAAATGGTAGGCATCTGGATCCCTGAATAAAGCATGAGAAGAGAACTGCCTGGTCTACCTTCATTGTACTGCAACATGAATGAGAAATAAACACTTATTGTGCTGATCCACTCAGAGTATGGGGTTTATGTATATGGCAGCTAGTGGTATTTACTACAGCACATATTACATGCTAGATTTTTTATGAAATTGAAGGGTAATTCACTCAAGTCAAAATGTAACTAAAAATTAACTGTTTCAGTGGAATGAATACCTCTTTGCTTGTGAATTTTCAAAATTAGAAGAGAAAAGACTGAGTTGTGAACTGATAGTAGAGGAGTGCTTTACCATGACCAGTGTTCTGGCTCACATGAAGGCATAGAGTCTAGCCCAAGTAGCTGAATTCAGTGGCAATGTTCAGACCTGACTCATCCAGTCTGGCTCTTCTTAACAGACAAAGAACAAATACTGTCTGTTGGCGGGTACTTTCAAAACAATTAGCAAGCACCAGCATACTTTTATTATTTTTTTCTGGCTATACAAATGCCCATAACTAGCGTATCAAACTTCATGACCGTGAACAAATAAAAGAACTTGTGAGAAGTAGGAAACATTTTGCCAGGAAGCAATTTCATTAATAGAGAAGTAGAGTTGTATACTAGAAGGAACATGGGCTTTGAAAGTAGGCTGTCATAGGTTTAATTCATTCATCAATTTTAATTCATTCATCAATTAAACAAATGTTTACTGAGAATCTACTAAATTGAACCATAAAGATGCTGATACTCAACTTTATTTGAACTACAAAAATAATGGTTTTGTATGATTCAGTCTAATACATACCAGACACTGTTGTAGGTGCTGGGCTTTCAGTACGAACAAAACTAAATTCCTGTTCTCATGGAGATTACCTTTTTGTGGTGAGAGATCAAAGGAAAAGTCAAATGTGTATGTGCAGTAATAATAAATGCAATTAAGAAAAATATAGAAGGTAAAGAGGATGGGTGTGTTGTGAGGGGAGGAAGTTGCTATTTTGTGGTAGTCAGGAAAGCATCTTTGATAAAACAATGTTTGAGTAAAGAACTGTAGAAAGTGCAGAAATAAATCACTCGGCTACCTGGGAGAAGAGCATTCTAGGCAGAGGAAATAGCAGGTACAAAGTCCCTGATGCATGACTATACTTCGTATGTTCAAGAATAGTAATGCCAGTGTGCCTGGAGCAAAGTGGGCAAAGGAGAGGGCAGTAACGGATGAGTTTAGCAAGGCATAGGACCAGCTCATGTAAACCTTGCCTTTCTTTAATAAGGATTCTGGTTTTCACTGATTTATGAGATGAAAAAGCTTGGAAGGTTTTGTGGAGAGATGTGACATGTGTTTTCAAAAGATTACTCTGGCTACTCTAGTGCGAATAGACTGTAGGGAAGAGAAGGTTGAAGCAGGCCAGTTAAAAGGCTATTCCCCTAATCCAGGCAGGAAAAGACAATGGCTTGGTCTAAAATATTAGGTATGCAACCAGTGAGAAGCAGTTAGGTTTTGTTACATGAACATAGAAGTAACAAGATTTACTGATGTATCGGATGTGGCATATCAAAAAAAAGAGGTGCTAAAAATGTTCTGAGCAAGTGAAAAGGATGGAGTTTTCATTAACTGACATGGGGAAACCTGAACAAGGAACAGGTTTTATGGCTGTGAGAATTTAGTTTTATTTTAGACATTTAAAGGGTGAAATGCCTACTAGACATTCAAATGGAGATGTCAAGTAGTCAAGTAGGCAGCTGAATACAAAAGTTGCAGAGAGACTCAGGTTAGGGATATAAAGTTTGGAGTCATCAGCATGAATAAGACAATAAACTATTGAGGTTAATTGAGAAAGAGAAGAAATAGCAGAGACAAGAACTAAGCCTGGAGCATTCTGATGTTTAGGGGTCAAAGAAAAGAGAACAAAAGGGAGCAGCTGGGAATGTCAGAGGAGATGTTTAGAATGCAAGTCTTCATTCTAATGAGATCTCTCCAGGTTTCAGTTTCCATAAGTGAAAAATGCAGAAAATAATTCCTAGGTCAGAGGATTTCCAAAGGCTGAAAAGAGGTAACATGGGAAAGCATACATAAGACCTAGAAAGTCCTTAATAAATGTTATTCCTGACTCTTGGTGAAATTCTGGGTAGATGCCAGATTTCTCATGCTTCCTTCTATTTTTTGGCTCCTCAATCAGGTCCTCAAATATGAACCCTATAGTCCAACAGTGTTGGCTGTGGAAGTAAGAGCCTCATTATTCTTCAGTTATTAGTTATACATTTTTCAGTCATAGAGCTCACTGTTATCAGATATTCCTCTTTTTGTGTTTGCTCTCTTCCTGTGTTTTGTGAGGAGTCAGGTTTAAAGGAGAGTGATCACTAATGTGAAGCTGGGAAAATGGAGGGAGGATGAGTTCTTTATCACCTGGCAGGAATGTATCCTTACTTCAACATTTAACTGCTCACCAAATAATTTCATTTCAGAAGATTTGTTTCAGTGCTATGGAAGAACTATCTGTATATAAACAGCTGGAAGTAGACCTTTCACTGCAGCTGTTAAAACCTATTGTAGTTAGACACCTTGTAGTGATTCAGGATCATCTGTCTTTGAAGAAAGTCTATGCTTTCTTTTATGCACATGTGGGTTCTTTTAGTTCTGAAAATAAAATAAGCTTTACTTAGGAAGACTAAAGAAAATGTTTACTGAATAAACCAGGGGTAGTTGAAATAATACCCTCCCACAATCTCTTGCTTTTATTTCATTTCTCTGCTTTCAACATTTACTCTGAATACTTATTGAAAGAATGAAGGAAAAACTACATGAATAGATGAATTAATATTTGAATGGCTTTTTTGTTTTTCTTTAACAAGACTCCTCCTAAATAATTCTAAATAAGTTCTGGGTACCCTGAGGACTATCTTTTACAACAAGAATCATGAAGTAGGAATGCTGTTTCAGAAGGAAGAGACAAATTGCAGAGTAACACCGAAACTTACCTAGTAAAGTAGTAAACAATCTGTAAGGAATCTGAGGGGATCATTTGCTCCTAGTATCAGGCTCAAGCAGATTCTTTTTCGAGTTCTTATCCCTCCTCCCCTTCCCCACCCCAAGCCAGTTGGATTTAAATTGTGTATCTTTGTAAGGAAGAATTGGCAGCAGTGCAGAGAGAAGGAAGAGTTGCGTGCTTTACCCTAAACTGCTAGCACTTGGGTGCTCAAAGTAGAGAAACAAGAAAAACAGGCTACTGGTAAGATGGACAATACGATCGGCTGCATTGGGTGAACTGTGATCTAGATTATAACAGTACTTTACAAATAATACTCCAAATCATAAGTCCCTAAAATTATCCAAATCTAAATTTTAACAATCCAGAAAGCCATTCATTTTAGTAAGATTTTATTTTCCTGTATCTTTCCCTCCATTTCTACTCCTGCTACCTTAGTCCAAACAAGTGTTTTTTTTTTTTTCCTTGCCAGGACTATGACAAAAGCTTTTCAACCAGTCTCTTCATTGCTTCTGTTGCTCTTCTGTAATCCATTCTCCATGTAGCACTTGGAATAATCCTACTAAAATGTAAATCAAATCAAATCATTTCTCTGCTTAAAACTTCCAATGGCTCCCTACAGTACTTGGAACAAAGTCCAAGCTCCTCCCTGTGGTCTTTAAGGTTTTTTGTGATCCAGCCCCTCCCTGCCCCTGTAACATCATATTGAGTCATTCTCTCCTTCACTATTCTCCAGCTACACTGACATCCTTTTATATGTATGGTGCCTGTGTATGTTTGTACATATCTATATAGTGTGTATGTATAACTATTTTTTGTTAGGATATAATTGGCATATAATAAACTAAACACATTTAAAGTATATAATTTAATGTTTTCAGATTTAGATATATGCATGAAAATATAATCACAATCAACAAAATGGGCATATCTATCATCCAAAAATTTCCTTTTACCCTTTTGTAATTTCTCACTCATGTTCCTCATTATCTTCTTATCCACCAGGCAACCAACGATATGCTTTCTGTCACTATAGGTAAGTTTAGCTTTTCTAGAATTTTATCTAAATGAAATTATACAGAATATACTTTTTTTTTTGTCCACCTGCCTTTACTCAGCTTAGTTATTTTGATATTTATCCATGTTGTTGATATTAATAGTCCATTCCTTTTTATTGCCAAATAGTATTCCATTGTATGGATATAGCATAATTTATTTATCCATTCACCTATTGGTGAACATTTGGTTTGCTGCCAGGTTTTGTCTATTAGAAATAAAGCTGCTATGAACATTTGTATAAAACTCTTTCTATGGCCACATGTTTTCATTTCTCTTCAATAAATATCTAGGTATAAATGACTGAGTCTAGAGAAGGTGAAGCAAAAGACTGAACAGAACTTTCCAGCAATTGTTGCCCCTGCAGAATATCAAATTGAACAACGATCCACATAAGAAAACACCTTCATAAGAACCAAAACTCAGGTGAGTGATCGTAGTACCTTTGGTTTTAACATCATACCAATGAAAGAAGCACTGAAAGGGTATGAAAGATGTTGACGCCACCCCTCCCTTATCCCCTGGCAGTGACTGTGTGGCAGGGAGAGAGAATCTGTGTGCTTGGGGGAGGAAGAAAGCAGTAATTGTGGGACTTTGCATTGAAATTCAGTGCTGTGCTGTCATAACATTGAGTAACACACGGCAGAACTCAGCTGGCACCCAAAGAGTGAACATTTAGACCAGCCTTAGCCAGAGGGGAATCACCTAGCAGTATTGTCAGAATTTGAGTTCTGACAAGCTCAATAACATAAGCTAAACTGCTTTGGGGTTCTAAATAAACTTGAAAGATGGTCTAGGCCACAAGAATTGCAATTTGTGGGCAAGTCCTGATGCTGTTCTAAGCTGAGAGTCAGTGAATTTGGGGTGCATGCAACCTAGTGAGATATCAGCCACGGGGGCAAGGGAATGTTTGTGCCACCCCTCACTCAACCTCAAGCAGCACGGCTCGCAGCTCCAGGAGCTACACCTTTCTTCTGCTTGAGAAGAAGAGAGGGGAGAGTAAAGAGGACTTTATCTTCAACTTGGATACCAGCTAAAACACAGTAGGATAGGGCATCAGGG